TGAGCCTTCTTAGCCTCAGACATATATGAACATTTTCCTGTTTCCAAGGAGGTCTACTAAAGCTGTTTTAAGTCATTCACACGAACCACACCTAAAATTCCATTTTTTGGGTTCCTGGTGCGGCACCTCCCATGGATTTTTCAAATTCCCGGTAACAAGTGGCCTGGATCAGTAAATCCCAAACCCTTTGACTTCAAGTCTCCCAGTGAAAGCCACGTCCTGAGGACACGGGGTTTTGGGGAGGTGAGCAGGGACGTGAAGTTGACAAGACCAGGCCTACTATGATCTTCTTTGATCCTGGGAAGCATTACAAGAACTGAGAAAAATTCCAAGAAATTGGAAGCCCACTGAGCATGGAATAAAAAGCTCATGACCCGACAGCACCACTGAAATTCTCAGCCTCTCTAACAGGCGTCTCACACAAGGCTGCATCCTGCAGGCCACCGTGGCACATTCTGCCCTCTGGGCTGGCATTGTGCTTGGGGGCATCTCCCCAACACTGCACTGACTTTGGGTATTATTCCAAAAACACTGCTTACTGTGTTGGGACCATTTCCTTCTTTATAACTATGCTAGTCATCATCTAAGAAGCCTGGGATAAATGTCTGATTCTAGATATTATTAAACTTTAGGATCAAAATCTCCAAAAATTAGCCTCTGACATGTCACCCAAATGTAACTTGGGCTCTATATCAACCCAGAAGGATGTCAAAATTCAATAACCCATCAATCACCCTAACAGTGATTCAGCAATTAGAAATTTTATACAGAGTCTAGGAAAAATGCCAAAAAAGAGAGTACATACTTAAGACACAGTCAGTTGTTTTTACAAGCTCTGTGGACATGACCCTCAGCACCCATCTCTAGCCAACATGAAACAAATAGTAATACTGAAGACAGATCTCCATCCTCACAAAATGTTATAGTCTAGTATCTTTTCTCTTTTTCTATTTCTTTCTTTTCATTTATTTATTTTTTAATTTGAGAAGCAGAGAGACAAAGGCAGAGAGAAAAGGGAGTGGAGAGAGAGATGTCTCATCCATGGTTCACTCCCCAAATGCTCACAAGGGCTAGAGCTGGGCCAGAAACAGTCCAAGGTTCCCACGTGGGTGGCGGGAACTCAATTACTTGAGCTGTCATCATTGCCTCCCAGGGTCTGCACTGGCAGGAAGCTGGAGTCAGGCGCTGGGGCTGGGATTCAAAGTCCCAAGCACTTTGAGATGGGACATGGGCGTCTTAATGGCTAGGCTTAATGCCTGTTCCTGGCATGACCTTTTAGAAATTAAGTTGAGGTGCAATCATGAAAAACATGATGGTATTTTAAAAAAAGGTTCATGGGGAAACAGAAACATAAGTCTATTTTTGGTAAGAATTTTTTTTAATTCCATGCATAGTTTTTCATAATTTGCATTTTCCACAAACTGAAGCTTTCCTTTTTTTTTAAAGAAGATTATTATGTATAATGTAATATATTGCAGCAGCATTTTATTTAATGGTCCCTTAGTATTATCAGGAAATTAAGTAAATGTATTTATTTCCAGAAATAAGTGACTCAAGAATGTCCATTACTGATAAGGAAATGAGTAGATGGTATCCATTTTTTTCTCAGTAACCATTTTCTAGATAACTGATAGAGGGCCACAGGGTAGTAAGACATGCACTGATAAAGCTGTAATTTTATATTATGCAACTACAGTTGCTTATGGGGGGGTTGTTTCTTTTCTTTGAAAGCCTCTGATGGGGGCCGGTGCCGCGGCTCAATAGGCTAATCCTCTGCCTTGCGGCACCGGCACACCGGGTTCTAGTCCCGGTCGGGGTGCCGGATTCTGTCCCGGTTGCCCCTCTTACAGGCCAGCTCTCTGCTGTGGCCCAGGAGTGCAGTGGAGGATGGCCCAAGTGCTTGGGCCCTGCACCCACATGGGAGACCAGGAGAAGCACCTGGCTCCTGGCTCCTGCCTTCGGATCAGCACGGTGCGCCGGCCGCAGCGCGCTAGCCGCGGCGGCCATTGGAGGGTGAACCAACAGCAAAGGAAGACCTTTCTCTCTGTCTCTCTCTCTCACTGTCCACTCTGCCTGTCAAAAAAAAAAAATCATCTGATGGGACCACTTAGAAAAACAGTCAACCTACTTGATCTTGTGCACGAGTGTCAACACAAAGTATGTTGTAGCAGTTTGTGGATTTCCTCTGCGGTTGGCTTGCAAGATCACTAAGTGATCATTTTAGCATTAGACACAGGAGAGTCTCACTATTCGGCCTGCAGTGGGAGCTGCTGTCAGCTGGGGCCCGTTTCTCCCAGAACAAGTCCCAGTCTTTGGACAAGCCCTAACTCCATCCCTAAGTGTGTGCTCCACCGCGGGAACCCAGGGACCCTGGAAGTGGGCGTTCAAGCATCTGGAAGTATTTCTTCTCATCTCCCTAACAACGCACCACCCAGAGACTGCTGAGAGACACGCAACTATTCTCAACATGGGGCAGGTGGCAAAATAAGTAGTGCCCTAAGAAGATGTGCAGAACCGCTCAGTTAAATGCATTACTCAATTTGCAAATGACATTTCAATGACATAACCCTAAATCCATCTCCTCTACCATAAAACTGCTTTATTTGTGATTCAGTTACATTTATCCTTTTAAAAATAAGAGACATGTAGATTTTTAGGGCATGTAAATGGGAGGACCTGATGAAGGCAGGCTGGTGTGCTCAAGCGTTGGGCCAGATTCCCTGTTCAGCCCTGCCAAGGCCCTGTCATTTCATGAGGTCGAGGTTCCTATTGCTCCAGCTCGAGAACTCTCTGGAGCAGACACTCTGCTATTCTGGTTGAATTACCCACTTTTCTCCCAATGACTAAATACTTAAGTTCCCGTGTTGAGACAGATGAAGTGACTTTGCACTTGGCCCACCACCGACTGAGAGCGAGTGTAATACATGTTTGTTGAACCCAGGATGGGCTATCTTTATGAGTACCACTTTTAACATGTATTAAGAACAGATATTATACCATGCCCATGTGCCACACATAGAGGAAGCAATCATTCCTGTACATGGAAATAAACAGCATGGGTGAATGTATCGCCAATGAAATCTATATCCCTGGCGAAATTGCAGTGTGACCGCCAAGACAGAGGGTAGACGCGTAATTACAGACAAGGCCTGCCTAAGTGAGTGCACTGTGCTATGTATGGGCAAAGCAGAAGGAACTGACCTTGTCTTGGGGGTAAGGGCAAGGCTCCAGGAAGAAATGACGTTGAAACTGAGACTTGGAGGATGAGACAAAGCTGGCCAGCAAAGAGTAAAGAGTGGCTTTTACAAAGGGGATGGCAGAAGCTAAGGCCCTGTGAGAAGAGGAACTGGCAGTGTGGTTTGGAGACTGCCGGGAGCTGTGGCTGTGGCATATGACCTGCAGAAGTAGGCAAGAGGAGGGCCCACTGAGGGTGGGGAACATTTTTTCTGCCAAGGGCCATTTGGATATTTATAACAGCATCCACAGGCTATATAAAATGATCAGCTTAATAATCAGCCTGCGATCGATGTACTGAATTTTGAGTCCTGCCTAAAGTTGCATCCACAGGGCCAGAGCAAATGATTTCACGGGTCTTAAACAGTTCACAAGCCAGCATTCCCCACCCTCGCTGCTGTATGAGTTGCTGATGTATGTTAAGGGCAATGAGATTCCCCTAAGTGGTCGTGATGACAGAAAAGGCAAGGCTGGCTTTGTGTCTATGAAAAGACCCCCCGGCTGCAGTACAGAGTGTTTGAACCATGGGTGTGGGTGAATGTGGGGAAACTGGTGAGAGAGAGGGCTATTGCCTAAGGCACAGATGCTTGGTGACCTGGACAGGGGTTTTGGAATGGAGACAGGGAGAAGTAGAAGCACCCCAGACATGTAACGGAGGTACAGCGGGCCAGGTGTGGAAATGGAACAAATGGAGGGAGGACAGAGTGACCCAAGGCCTCCAATGGTCACTGGGATTATGGTTATGGAAACACTCAACAGTAAAGGGAATTATGATGGAGAAAAAGAATTAGTTTGGGACTCTATGTTATATATTAAAGATTTTGAATACAGGTACACACATATTTACATTTAACAATAATTTAAAAAGTATTTAAAATTTAACATTTTATTTAATGTTTAATTTTAAAAATATTTCTTATTTTTCTATGAATAAATAATGACTACTTCCAAATGCATGAATACTGCCTCTGCCTCCTCCTATAAACCTGCTAGTGACTCTATGACAGGCTAAAATATCGAAGGAGCCGGCGTTATGCTGTAGTGGTCTAAGCCTCTGCTTGCAGCACTGGCACTCCATATGGGCGCCGGTTTGTGTCCCGGCTGCTCCTCTTATGATCCAGCTCCCTGCTATGGCCTAGGAAAGCAGTGGAAAACGGCCCAAGTGCTTGGGCCCCTGCATTCATGTGGGACAACTGGAAGCAGCTCCTGATTCCTGGCTTCAGATCAGCCCAGCCCTGGCCATTGTGGCCATTTGGGGGGTGAACCAACAGATGGAAGACCTTTCTCTCTGTCTTTCCCTTTCTCTGTCTGTAAGTCTGTCAAATAAATACATAACAATCTTTAAAAAAATAAAACTATCTAAAATATAACACTTCATAGTTTTTTCTTCTTGAATTTGTTACGTGTCATCATAATTGATAAAGATTAAATAGTAAGTAAATATTTCTGGAAACATTTGGTTATTTCTAATATTTTGAAAATGTGAAAGAACTATTCCTGTTCTATTTAATACATATTTTTTGCAGTCAAAATTACCTTCCCCAATGAATGATCCATTCACAGATGGAATACTGCATGTATCACATCCACTTCTGAGACAAAGATATAGCTGAGGGAGCCCAGGTGACAAGAGCAGAAGAGTCACTCTTTAGCCCAAAGCACTATGAAACAGTAGCACGTGTATCACTTTAAGACACTAAATTTGGGACGGTTTGTTATACAGTAACAGTTAGCAATCATTACAACAGTCAGTAGATATGGAGCTGCTGTTTTTTTTTTTTTTTTTTTTTTTTTTGACAGGCAGAGTGGACAGTGAGAGAGAGAGACAGAGAGAAAGGTCTTCCTTTGCCGTTGGTTCACCCTCCAATGGCCGCCGCCGCCGGCGCGCTGCAGCCGGCGCACCGCGCTGATCTGATGGCAGGAGCCAGGAGCCAGGTGCTTTTCCTGGTCTCCCATGGGGTGCAGGGCCCAAGCACCTGGGCCGTCCTCCACTGCACTCCCTGGCCACAGCAGAGAGCTGGCCTGGAAGAGGGGCAACCGGGACAGAATCCGGCGCCCCGACCGGGACTAGAACCCGGTGTGCCGGCGCCGCAAGGTGGAGGATTAGCCTAGTGAGCCGCAGCGCCGGCCCGGAGCTGCTCTTTCATTACTTTCTTCTACAATTCTTGGTACAGAATCTTTCTTTGTAACTCTTGGTCTTCTCTTATTTACATCCACTAGGTCTCTTTTGCAGTCTCTTATTATTGGTCTTCTTAACTACTAATGAAGAAAAGTTGTTTTTAAATTTATTTTCATTTTGTTTGAAAAAGAAAGCGACATCTTCCAACTGCTGCTTCACTCCCCCGATACCTGCAGCCAGTGCTGAGCCAGGGCAAAGCTAGGAGCCAGGGTAACTCCACGTGAGTCTCCCTCAAGGGTGGCAGAGACTGGAGTACTTGAACTATCACCTGCAGCCTCCCAGGCGGTGCCTTAGCAGGGAGGTGGATCTGAAGCCCAGGAGCTAGGGTTCAAACCAGACACTCCTGAGTGGAAGTGGGCATTCCAAGAAACAGCTTACTTTCTGTGCCAAATACCTGTCCCCCAAGAAAAGTTTTTAAAAAGATATCTGGGGTCAGGCGCCGTGGCTCACTTGGCTAACCCTCCACCTGTGGTGCTGGCATCCCATGTGGGCACCTGTTCTAGTCGCGCTGCCCTTCTTCCACTCCAGCTCTCTGCTGAGGCCTGAGAAGGCAGTGGAGGATGGCCCAAGTGCTTGGGCCCTGCACCCGCATGGGAGAGCAGGAAGAAGCTCCTGGCTCCTGGCTTCGGATTGGCCCAGCTCTGGGCCATCTAGGGAGTGAACCAATGGAAGGAAGACCTTTCTCTCTTTTCTTTCCCTCTCACTGTCTGTAACTCTGCCTCTCAAATAAATAAATGAAAATCTTAAAAAAAAAAAAAAAAGATTTCTTTGAAAGGCAGAGTGAGAGAATGAGACAGAGTGAGAGAGCGAGAGAGAGAGAGATCTTCCATCTGCTGGTTCACTCTCCAAATAGCCACAGCATTCAGGTCGGGGCCAGGTCAAAACCAAAAGCCAGGAACTGCACCTGGGTCTCCCATACAAGTGACAAGCGCCCAAACACTCGGGTCATCCCCACGGCTTTCCCGAGCATATTAGCAGGGAGCTGGTTCAGAAGTGGAACAGCAGGGGTGTGTGTGGGTGGGGGCACTGAACCAGTCCTGTGATATTGGGTTCCCTCACCACAGTCAGTGGCTTAACCTGCTGTGCCACAACACCACGCCACCACAGAAAAGCCTTTAAGAGCATCTACAGGGGCCAGCGTGGCGCAATGGGTTAAGGCTCACGCTGCAACTCTGGCATCTGTATTTGAGTGCTGTTTCCAGTCCCGGCTGCCCAGACTTAAGAATTTGGGCCCCTGCCACCCATATGGAAGACCAAGAACTTGGGGCCCTGCCACCCATGCAGGAGACCAGCGTGCAGTTCCTGGCTGCCGGCTTCCACCTGGCCTAGACCCGGCTTTTGCGGCCATTGCTGGGGTAAACCAGCAAATCGCTCTCTCTGTCTCTCCCTCCCTCTGCCTTTCAATTAAATAAAATAAATCCTTAAGATTATGTAAACTGAGTATCTATAAATCAGTTATATTTCTGTAAACTAGCAAGAAACAATAAAAAGATTAAATTTAAATAATACCATTTACAGTAACTTTAAATTGCTTAGGAATAAACTTAACAAAAATAGAGAAGCTTTCTATACTGAACACTACAAAACATCCTTGAGAGAAGTTAAAGATGACCTGAACAAGTAGAGTGGCATACAACGCTCGTGAACTGTGTTGTTCATATGATTAAAACATAAATTGTCTCTAAATTGATATATGCATTCACAGCCCCTGTCAGAACTCCAAGCATTTTCAGAAAGAAACTGCAGGCTGATTCTAATACGTATACAGAAAGGCAAAGGACCCAAACCAGAATGCTTCTGGAAAAAATAAAAAGTTGGAAGACTTTCATGACCTGATTTCAAGACTTGCTATAGAGCTACAATCACCAACAATGTGGAACTGGCCAATAAAAACCAATAGAGCAGAAAAGAATATGCAGAAATAGACCCACACATACAAGGTAAATGGATTTTCAAAACATTTAAGAATATTTATTTATTTACTTGAAAAAAAATTGACCTGTGGGGAGGGAGATATTTCCTGTCCATTGTTTCGCTCTGCAAACACCCATATCCGTCAGAGCTGGGGTGGGCTGAAGCCACAGACCTAGAACTCACTCCAGATCTCCCATGTGGGTGGCAGGGACCCAAGTACTTAAGCCATCACCTGCTGCCTCCCAGGATGGGCATTAGCGGGAAGCTGGATCTGAAGCGGAGTCAGGACTTGAACTCAGGCACTTTTTGCTCTGGGATGTACAAGTCCCAAGAGGAATCATACCGACTTCGTCAAATGCCTGCCCCTGGTTTTATTAAAGTGTCAAGCACATCTTTGAGAAAGAACACTCTTTCCAGCAAACACTGCTGGATCAACTACATATTCATGTGGGGAACAAGAAAAGTAAACCTGAACTTGTACTTTACAGCCCACACAAAAGTAGTTTGGAACATTAAGCTGTAACTGGAAAGTTTCCAGGAGAAAATCTTTCTATTGAGCTACAGAAAAACAATTTGTGATGCAAAACGACTAGCCAGAAAGGAAAATGCAGTCATAAATTGGGTTTTTATCAAAAACATAAACTTTTGTTCTTCAAAAGACATCACCAAGAAAAATGAAAAAGGTAAATCCACAAATTTGAAAAAAAATATTCTTAAAACATGTCTCATGTAAGTCTTGTATCCATAATGCATAGAAATCTCTTTTACCTCAATACAAACATAAATAAACACTGGGCAAAAGATTCAAACAGATATTTCACAGATGTGGAACACATGGTAAAAATGTCTCAGACATTAGCATTAAAGAAATGCAAATTAAAATGACAGTAAGATAGCACTTTCCACCCAAGGGTTAGCACTGAAAACACTGGAATGCCAGGGTTTGGCAAGGACCTGTAACAGCTGGAACTCTGGATGGGGCTGACGCAGATGTAAACAAGACACAACTACTTCTCACACTATGTAAGAGTTTCTCCTAAAGACTGTACTTGGTCCTACCCAAAAGTTGCAGGAGTTCTACCTCTATTTACCAGGAAGAAATGAAAACATATCCACAGAGTAACTTCTAGATGAACGCTCACAGCAGCTAAATATATAATAGCCCCAATCCAGGAAAATAAACAAAATGAAGCCAAAAAATGCCACATGAACAAATAAACACATCATAGTATGTTCATAGCATGAAATACCAATCAAGAAAAATCAAAGGACCACTGATTGAGCAATGGCATGGATGAATCTTGCAGACACAGTGCTGAGCAGAACAGATGTGAAAACAGGTCTACTGCATGTAGCCCATTAGGTGGAGGTCTGCAGCAGGCCAGACATGAGACAGTCAACACCATGGTTACCTGGGGGCAAGGAGACAGTGGGCTTCAGGGGGCTTGGCAGAACCGTGTGTGGACTTGGAATTCTGGGGGGACTATTCTGTTTCTTATTGGTGGTACTGTTTACAAAGGCAGGCACATTTCTTAGAATCCATCAGACTACAACTTCAAAGGCCATGCATCTCATTTTATATAAGCTATATCTATGTAACATTGATTTACTTAAAAACCTGCCTCCCTTAAACTAAGAAAATTGGCACTGTAGCAGCAAAGAGTATCCTTTTTCCATGTTCATGGCAAAAGATTCTCTGCACATTGTGTGTGTCTATAGTCTTCGTCAACTTGGAAATTCATTCCAAGGCTTGGGTACCAACTGGTGACCGCGGCTACCATCATCTAACACCAGCATGTTTTTCTGCCAGATGCTTACAAACATTTTGTCTCTGCAACGACACTGCAAGATAGTTTTCATTCTGTTTTTGGTGGAGAAACTTGAGTAGGAGAATTGTTAAGTGATTCATCCAAAATTGTACCATCAGAAGTTAACAGCCAAAGACAGTCCATCTGTTTGCCTTACCCATATTATTTCTGTGACTTGTCATCTTCCCAGCTAACTTATCAATCACACTTACCCCAAAGCCATCTACCCACAGGCACTCGGTGAACCCTCCTTGCTAGCCCAGACTTTAATTGGCCTGTCCCAAATTTCCTTGTCATCTTTAGTGAGTCACTCAGCTTATTTTTTCCAGTAATCAAAGAAAGAAAAGAAGGCTCACCTTCTTTCTCCTCCATAAGCAAGACTTTGACACAGTGGTTTCTAACAGGATAGACCTGGTTTCACGGTGGAGTTCTGCCAACTTCTAACGGACCCTGCTGCTTAACCTTCCCAGGCGCCAGTTTGTTCTGCATGAAATCAAAGTATTGAGAACCACCACTCAGGACGACTGTGAGAAAACATGAGCTCATGCATGCAAGCTGTCTGCGTCATGCAGCGAACATGGGAAATGACCAGTAAAAATGACGATTATTAATGAAAAGGCAGGTATTGTCCTGCGAGGGTGATGACGTTGCTTGCTTTTGTTCCTATTGCTAATTTATATCCTCTCTCTACTAGGGGTCCATTTAACAAATTTGAAAAGGCCCTCTGTATTCATCACAATTACTCAGGCACCAGAAATTCCTTTGCCATGCAGCATGTTGAGGCTATAATTCAATATTTTGTAATTGAATATTTGATTTCATATTTCCATTTAGTCAGTGCATTTGGTGCTTTCCCAAACGCTACTGTGCTTGTATTAACCATTTGCAAAAGCGTAAGTAAAGCACTGAGAACCAAGCCGAAAGGCATGTCAGTGGCAGGGAAGTCTCTTGTTCCCCTAACAGCCTGCCATTCCTTTAGGAGACAGAGTTCCTACTTTTTTCGCCCTCTCTCTACCTTCTAGAAAAGATTACCGTAAGCAATGAAACAAACAGTTGAAATGTAACAAAATAGGTAGAAGCCAGAGAAATCCATGCTCACTACAACCATAACAATGCGCTAACTACCCGGGCCTGCTTTAAAAGACTTTCTTAGCTCTGCAATTCTTCCCAGGATAAGTTGTCATCTTCACACTGCTACATAATCAAGAAGGTGATGACAAAATGAGTCCCATTCTAATCCTAACCGAAGGAGAAAGAGCCGTGATTCTCAAAGCTGAATGTCGGACAAATAGGAAACAGGTTTTCAAGTTCATAATCCTCTCCAAAGCTTCCTTCCTCTCTGCCTCACTCCAAGTACACATCAGACCCTCAGATGTCCTGAGATCTATTTCACAGAAGAGACAGGAAGCAAAATCAAGCTGCAGAGAACTGCCTTTGGGTTGTCAGTCATGTCAGCTTGTTCCTTCTGATCCCAAGAGAAGGCAGTGCACCCTGGATGGAGTTCAGGCAGGGCGTGGCTGCCTCGTGCCAAGACCGCAGCCAGAGGCAGGAGATGCCTGATTCGAGCAGAAACGCCCTCCGTAGCTACAGGGGGAACTTCAAATGGTTCATGGTAAAATGCAATTAAAAGATATTCTTATTTTGTTCAAAAGTTTTTGAAATGCTTGCATAGCCTTCCACAATAAGCATTTTCCCTGAATGTTTTGAAGACTCCTCATATATGAGGATTTCACTTTTATTTGTTTGCATCAAAATAAATCTATGTTTTAATTCCATTTTCCCATGAACGTTGGAAATACTCTGGTCTATTCCACCATCTGAGAGGATCACGCCCAGGTTACAGTTAACTTTCAGGGCACTGAATAGGGCAACTAAACCCAGAAAGAGGCAAGCAGCAGCAAGTAAGCCCGCATGCAGACCTGGGAACGACTTCATTCTTGCACTGGACAACAGAAATGACCCTAGTGCACCCCATGGCAAGAACAACAGGTGCCTTTTTGGTCACTGGACTGTTGATCAGGTCCAATCAAACCACGTGAACTTCACTTGCAGGCCATTTTGCCAACTGGCTGACCCGTTATTTTTGTGGTCAACATAACTAAATTATTTTCAACTCTGATTCACTGCATTTCAAAAGATCCATTCTCCCATCATAACATCACTTTTTCTTGTTTCCACTTTGCTACAGTGACTAACGTTCTTACCTTAATCACAATTAAATATGGGTCAAAACACTGTCCCATTCTTGGAGCTAAATTCCACTCTTCTATTTCCAACGTGGACGAAGAAGATGCATACTCAAACCCAATATACTAAAATATTATTATTTCTGAAATTGTTCTAACCAGTGTGTTTACAAATTTTTTTTTGTCGGTTCCTTTCTGACACACAGGCAAGTGTGTACCAACTGTCTACTTGTTATATTTAGGAGAACACCTGGAAGTAGCACGTGGCAGAAGCCAAAGTGGGCAGGGAGGAACAGAAGCACACTGGTACCTTTAAGGCTTATTCACTCCCCTGCTCCCCTCTACTCTGAGAAAAATGACTTCGGGTTCATATGTTCACTCAAATTCTCTTCTGAGTCGCTTCTGAAAGTGTGTTCAGTATCTTCATTCGACTCTCACTTCTCTTGCGAGAGATGCTGTACTTTCTCTGTTCTCACCTCCCCACCTCTAACTTTCCACCATCCACATGCTGTTCTCCGCCATGTATTCAGGCTACCAAATGGCACCTAAGCATCAGTCTCTACCAAAGATCGGTGCAAACGTCCCGAGCCCACAGCCAAGGAATTGGTGCTCAAACCGAGTCTTCTATGACATCGCTGCTCCAGCTTCGGCCATTCAGAGGTCCTGCTTTGCACTCTGGACTTGCTGCATAACTCCGCTTCCCACTCAGATGAAACAGCCCTCAAATATATATGCATCTAGCAACTGCTAGGAGCACAATATTATGACATGTTCATTCTTGGCGAAGACAGGCCACATATTGTAGTTTAAAGATTTGCTATCCATGGGCTAGAACCTCAAAAAAAAAAAAAAAAGCATCATTCCATCTCTCTATACTACAAGGTTGCCACAAAAACAATGCCTCATGGCCCAGAGAAGACTCTGCCTTGGGTCAGATCCAGGCTGAAGGCTGGAGCTGCTTCCCCACTGTTGCTAGGATTGCAGTACTGGGGAGGAACTTGGTCTCTCCATCTTTCTGAAGAACAGTTTTGCCATCGACCCGAGAGCACAACGTGTGACCGGATTGTCTCCCACAGGGCTTGCAAACACTTTCTGTTGTCCCCAATGTGGTAGCCACATGGTTGCTTCCCAGCTGCCTGGGTCTTGGCCAGAGAGAGTTCTGAGGAAATGGAAGAGAGAGAAAATCAAGTGAGCTTTTCATTAGGATGTGTGACAAAGGGTTATGTGTTTTCTCACTGAGTATTTGTGATTAACAGAAAATGTGGCACATCATTACTGTTGTAGGGAGCTATTTATACTCTGATAAGACATTTGTAAGGCTGTTCAAACAAATTTGAAAAAACCATGACCAAGCTCATTCAGCTCTATAATTTTAGTGCTCATGTGTGTAAATCATCATTAGGCATACTACCCCTTAGAGCATAAATGTGTTCAAGAAATGTCGGTAAAACAAATGTATACTGAATTTTATTTACATATAAAATGCCTCCAATGTCTTTTAAAGTCCAACTAAAGAAATTCTTTGATTAAAAATTAATAACCATAATGAAACAGAGGAGTGGACGGATTGAAAGTAGCTGGAATAGCTTGCCTATTCACAAGAAATCAGAAATTTTTAAAACTAGGAAAAATACTTTAGATTTGGGTCACTCCTTAAATCTCACGGATGACTCAGAACCAGAGAGAGTGAATCAGCTGTCCAAAGATACATTGCTTTTTTTTTTCCCCCTCCTAATGAGAGCACCAGGATAGAAAACAAGGGTGTTTTGACTTCTACCCTCCCATTAGGGGCTGCTTTGGTCTGCCACTCGGAGAGCATGACCCCCACAGCCGAGGTATTCCCTCAGGAACCTGTGGTCACCTAATGGCAGCTTTGGGTTCCCTCTTGGGTCCTTGGGTGCATACAGAGGCTTTTTCAGATGAGAGATAATTACACCCTGCCCCTTCCTGCCGCTCCTGTAATCTGGCCTGTCCATCCAATGATATACACCTGTTTCTTCTTTTCCACTCAGTCTTGCTTGGTGCCTTTGGAGAAACTGAGTAGCTATTTTAAGCCTAACAGCGTCTGCAAAATGACAGCTGAGGCTGTCTGAAGCCATCCTACAGAGACTTCCCCACAGGGACGTGATGTTGATGGGATCTGCTCTTGGACTGTTTTAAATCTTCACTATAGAAGCCACAGGTTTGCTAATCCACCGGCAAGCTTCCACGCGCTCTCTCTTGGTGATCAAGGATGTGTGTGGTCGCAGGCGAAGCAAATCTAACCGAAAAAGAGCGAAACCTCGCTCCCTGGACTTAGAATCGTGTGGCCGAGCCTTGGAGGGAACCAGCCACAACGGCTCACAGCTTCAGTCAGGGCTCTCAGGTGGCAGACAACCAAACTAACTCCGCTCATGCATTGGGACAATGGAAGAAAGCGCCAAAACCCAGGACACCGGCCTAAATCAGCGTGTGCGCCATAACCTGCCGCTTTTCCCGTAGCCAGAGGAGCAGCTCTTGGCCCTGGTGCCACTAGGTTCAGGTTCTCAGGGCCACTGCTGGGGGGTGGGTGGGTACGGTTCCCAGAGGAAAACACGTGTTCTTACAAGAAAAGGGAAATGGCTGAGTCGGCAGTCCAATCCACGGACGCCCCAAAACGTGGTCGCCAAGTATGCAAGACCCAGCATAACAGAGACAGGTGAATATGCGTGCACCTGTGTCCACAGCAGCTCCGTGAAGAGAGCGCTGAGCAGGCTGGTTCTCTCCAAGGCCGGTTTGGGGCGGTAGTTTTACACTGTGCCCTTCTGTACCAGTTTCTTTGAAACTGCGCGGGCCGGCCCCTGGGGGGTGTGAACGCCGGCTGGAGCGCCAAGCCTCACTTCTCAGGGTAAGCGAGGCCCCCTGCCACTCCTGCTGGCTGCTCTGGGCTGCCATCAGAACTCCACGCAACCCCTCCACGGGGCCTGGAGGACCAGTCCCTCTCCGGGGGACGCCTACACCCACTCCCAGGAAGCACCAGTGGCGACTCAAGTGTCCAGAATCCCACGTCAAGCCTTATCAGGGCTCGGGGGGGGGGGGGGGGTGCAGCCTGCGGCTCTCCCCTTCCGGAGCCTTCCCGGCAGGCCCCACGGAGAAAAGCCGGCGCTCACGCCAGCTCCAAGCGCACCCCCGGCCCTCATTTTTTGGCGGGGAGTTGGGGTTCTGCATAGTCTTGGCGCTGCCAGGCTTTGTTCCCTGTTAAAAAAAAAAATCTCGCTTTGGGTTATTAAAATAGTCGCCGTAGGAAACAGATTTGTCACCCGTTTCTCATGTTACCCACACTCCGAAAAACAGAATTCGATATCCAGGGGTGGATTGGAAGAGGGCGCCGCCCACCAGGGCAGGCGAGTGCGCGCGGGGCGGCCGGGCCGGACCCCGCTCCGGACGCGCGCGAGTTCCCGGCGGCCGCCCGCGCTCTCCCCGCCTCGCCAGGCCCGGTGACCTCATAGCATTTTTCTCCGTGCATACTTTGGCGGCGGCCCACCGCCTGGCTGCCGTCGCCTGTCTGAGCCTTTCAGAAATTCCTGCATGTTCGCCCCAGATAGAGCCGGGCGTCCCGGGCCGCGCGCGGCGCTCCGTGCTCTCCCCGAGCGCGCGCGCCCTGCAACGTGTCTGGGGGCGGGCGCGCGGGCGCGCGGGGCGGGCGGGGAGCTGTCCGCCGCGCACGTTTCCAATCGCATTACGTGAACAAATCGCCGAGGGCCGGCCGCGCCAGGACGGCTTGTGTAACTTTGCAAACGTGCCAGAAAGTTTAAAATCTCCCCTCCTTCCTCCGCTGCAGACGCTGCGCGCTCCCCGCCGCCTTCCAGAGGGACCGGTGGAGGCGAGAGCCACGCGCGCCACGTCCGGGCGGCCGCCTCGACTGCTCCAGGGGCCGCGGCGTCCCTTCGGCGCGGCTCGGTCGGGGACCGAGGGGCCCGCGCTGCGCCCCCCTCCCTGTGGAAGAGCGCCCCTCCCGCACGTGATCTGAGCCCCCATTTTTTTTTTCTTTTTTTTTTTAGTTTTATTTTCCGTTTTCTCCGAGCCGCGTCCTGGGGACGACCCCGTGCAGGGAGCGATGCTCTGCTCCTGGACGGTGCTCCTGCTCGGGCCGCTGCAGCTCTGCGCGCTCGTGTGCGGCGCCCCGCAGGCTGCGGGCCAGCAGCAGCCCCCGCGCGAGCCGCCGGCCGCCCCGGGCGCCTGGCGCCAGAGGATCCAATGGGAGAACAACGGGCAGGTGTTCAGCCTGCTGAGCCTGGGCGCCCAGTACCAGCCTCAGCGCCGTCGCGACGCGGGCGCCGCCGCCCCGGGGGCCCAGCGCGCCGCCGGCCCGCAGCAGCGCACGCCGGTGCTGCTGCTGCGAGACAACCGCACGGCCGCCGCCAGCCGCCCCCGGCCCGCCGGCCGCCACTGGTTCCAAGCCGGCTACGCGTCGCCTGGGGCCCGCGACGCCGGCGCCTCGCGCGCTGGCAACCGGACGGCGCAGGGCGAGCCCCCGGCGCTCAGTAACCTGCGGCCGCCCAGCCACGTGGACCGCATGGTGGGCGACGACCCGTACAACCCCTACAAGTACTCGGACGACAACCCCTATTACAACTACTACGACACGTACGAGAGGCCCCGGCCAGGGAGCAGGTACCGGCCCGGCTACGGCACCGGCTACTTCCAGTACGGTAAGCGCCCGCGCGCCCCGGCCCCGCGCCGTGCCCTCGACGTGGCTGCTGGGTGCGGCGGGCCCGGGGCCGCGCGGATGCGGTCCTCCGCCTCGCGCCTGGCCCCTGTGGCATCCTTTCCGCCTCGCTTCCCAGCCCCGCGCGCGCGCCCCCTCGGCCGCGCCCTGCAGCCCCCGCGGGCGCACGGCGTGGAGTAAGGCACCTGCGAGCACCCGAGCCGCCCCGGGGGTCCGCCGGCCTGCCTCACCGCGGCGTTTCTGTCGCCTGCTGGCGTCTAGGTCTCCCGGACCTGGTGCCCGACCCCTACTACATCCAGGCGTCCACGTACGTGCAGAAGATGTCCATGTACAACCTGAGATGCGCCGCCGAGGAGAACTGCCTGGCCAGGTACGGGCTGGGCTGGGGTCTCGGCGGCCCTGCCCCCCACGCCGGGGTTCCCCGCTGCTGCCGGGTCCCCACGGGGTCTGTTCCTGCAGACAGGACGCGACCTCTTGGGCAGATGCTGGCCTCCTGCACGGAGAGTTAAAGCTTTGATTTCTTTGCGTCCTGCCTTTCCAACCGCAGCGAGAACGCTTATCTGGGAGACTGGAAGCCCCATGTTACTTTTGTTTTCTCTCCGAGATCCTTAAACCTGGGAGCCGACTGTTTCCGATAAGCTAGTGTAAAACGACTCTGTGCTAATGCAGGAAACAGGACGGTAAACCAAGAGCTTGGGAATGCGCGCTTGAGAGAGTGGGGGCGAAATCTGCCACTGTGGCATCTCCTCATTGGTAAGGGCTGACTTTCCCTCTTTTGTCTGAGGCCACGGTTAACTTGGTTGTTTTGCTGTTCCTGCAGCCAAAAGGAGACCGTGAAGCAAGAGCTTTGTTTTCCCATCAGTTCTAAAATAAAACAGCCTTTTCTGGATGGGGCTTCTCGGCCTGTGTTGCTGGAAAGCCAGCAGAGGGAGCAATGCACGTTTCCGTGGGTGCCGTGCGAAAGTGCAGTGGAAAAGAAAGCCGTGGAGAGAGCTGAGCAGATGCACACGAAAGACAGCAGTGGGAACACCGTGGCCTGTGTGCATTTCCTCCACGTTGGCCCTTTGTGGTCTGGGGCTAAAGCCAGGGAAGAAGTTCAAGTTCATGTCCATTGCTGGGTCTTGCATCACTCACATCACCGAGCTCCTTAGGGTGTCACTTCAGTGCAGTCCCCTGGTTAAAAGTTACCACATTTAGTGATCCGAACTTGAACATTTCTTTTTTTAGTTATTTCACCGTTTTAGATCTCAGTTAACAATTTAAAAGAAATGTGTGGTTGCAGTTTGAATCGTTAGTTAGGTCTGGGTTTGGGTTTTCGTTTGGCAGACTTTGCGCTTCCGTGTCCCTTCTTCATGTTGGTAACCGATTTTACGTATACAGTTCACGTCGCACGTAGAGGCTTTTAGTGCTCCTTTTGTTATGTTTTCACTTTTTTAAAGTTCTGCCTGGATTTCTATCTTGTGTTTCATTCTCAAGTCGGCCTCTCAGAGCCCATGGGCGAGGTTTGTTGGGGGCAGGGAGGCTGTCACAGCGGGCAGTGGGCTTTGTTTGTGGTTCTGTGTCTGTAGCTCATAGGCTGTGACCCTGACCCCATATCTGCTTTCAAAATCGCAGTTCAGCGTACAGGGCAGACGTCCGAGACTATGACCACAGGGTGCTGCTCAGGTTCCCCCAACGAGTGAAAAACCAGGGCACGTCCGATTTCCTACCAAGCCGACCGAGATACTCCTGGGAGTGGCACAGCTGTCACCAGTAAGTGGACGGGCCTCCTGGGTCCTCTGGGGTTGCGTGTCCCTTTCTCAGGTGATTCTTGATGGGACAGACACGAGTCTTCTGTCTCACCCAGAGGGAGGACACTGCTGTCATGTAAATGTAGAATTTTGTTCTCTTTTAAATTTGACACAGCCAGAGGAGTTAATCCACCAGCTAGCTTTTCTTTTTTCTGTAGAACCAGAAAGCCCAAGCCCAGCCTCTCCACACTGGATAGGAGATGGCAGGTGCCTGCAGAACAGTTTGCTCTCGAACACACAGGAGTGCTTCCTTAAAACTGTCTACAGCAAAAATCACCTGCAGTTAGCACTAAAGAACGTTTTTTTTTAAATGAGTTATTTGGGGCCAGCACTGTGACACTGTAAGTTAAGCCGCTTCGGGCTTATGGACACTGGTTCAAATCCTCACTGCTCCACTTCTGATCCAGCTCCCTGCTAGGGTGCCTGGGAAAGCAGCAGAGGATGGCCAGAGTACTTGGGCCTTTGCATCCATGTGGAAGACCCAGAAGAAGCTCCTGGCTTTGGATCAGCGTACCAGTGGATTGGAAAACCTCTCTCTCTTCATCTCTCCCCTTCTCTGTGTAAAACTCTGCCTGTCAAATAAATAAACATATAAAAGATTTTTAAAATATTTATTTATATAATTGACAGGCAGAGTTAGGGAGAAGAAAGAGAGAGAGAATGAACGAACAGGAAGAGAGATATCTTCCATCTGCTAGGTCATACACCAAATGGCTTTAACAGCTAGGACTGGGCCAGGCCAAAGCCAGGAGCCTGGAACTGCATCTGGGACTCCCATGTGGGTGCAGGAACCCAGGCATTTGTGCCATCTTCCACTGCTTTCCCAGGTGCATTAGCAGGGAGCTGGAGCGGAAGTGGAGCAGCTGGGACTTGAACTGGTGCTTGTGTGGGATGCCGGCACTGCAGGTGATGGCTTAACCTGCTGCACCACAATGTCTGCCTCTTGGATGGCATTTAATAACAGCACATTTTGCAATCAAAAAGATGCAGAGACCGTTTTCAAAGATGTTGGTGATGTACTCTGATCCAAGAAGGAGCCTTCTTCTCTTTTGTAGAAAGTCTGTGTCCAACCCAGGGTGGTTCCTGTTCCGTCCTCAGTTTAAAGCTTTTCACATGCGGTCATGCAGTCATTGGCCCTGGAAATCCTGATGTGTGGCCTTCAGCTTCCTCTCTGAAAGTCAAGCCATCCCTCATCGTTTTCGTGCCAGGTGTGAGATGAACCACTCAGCACCTTCTACTTGATGAAATGAGCAAAGTAGCCCAGAGCCACCTAACTTGCGATCACATAAGGATATTTTATTTCTGAATATGTGCTCGTGCGATTGTAATAGCAGTGGTGCAGAAAACGTGCCATTGTTTCTCCTTTGCATTTCAGTAAGGACTTTAAATATCCAAGGGCTGTGTTTTATAAAATCTCAGCGACGGTCATGTGCTTCTTCGGTGGAGTGGAACATCAGTGGTGCAGCCAAGGCAGACCTAGTACAGGACACGCGCCAAGCTTCTCTGAAGCCCAGATAATTTATTGTCTGTCCTGTTAGCATTCAAAGATTAAACAGGGAGTAATGGAAAAGCAAGATACTCATGCTAACAAGTCTTTTCCCTGAGTAGTTAAGAAAGCTCACAATTCTGAAAGATATTTGCCCTTACGAGAAAAGTCCAGTGCAACACTCTAGGAAAACAAACTTCATCTCAGTTTTAATAAGAAACTTGGGAGGCAGCAGCGAAGTCCAATCCTTTGCTCACTGTTCCATCTCTGTGTGTCACTGACCCCGTCTCTTTGCTGTGTGGGACATTAGGCATTACCACAGCATGGATGAGTTCAGCCACTATGACCTGCTGGATGCCAACACCCAGAGGAGGGTGGCTGAAGGTCACAAAGCCAGCTTCTGTCTGGAGGACACCTCCTGTGACTATGGCTACCACCGGCGATTTGCATGTACTGCCCACACACAGGTAGGTGGGCCTCAGAGAGGGAGGCCAGTGCCTGCATTCTGTCACCTCTCTTTTATCCATTGTTTCATCTTCCACACTGCAAGCTGGACAGTAATTGGCAAAAGGGAAGCCGTGGGATGGGGACCCCGCTTACTTCTGAATTGTCTCCAGCTGTACATGGAGCTCTTGTTAATCACAGGAGATCAGTGTGGACTTTTGTTACGTTCCGCGATGCACAGCGGATGCTTGCCCTAAAAATGGGCGAGGTTTACAACATCTGCACTCAATCCATACTGAAATAGCTTGGGAAGTCACTGTAGCAGGCACACCCGTGTTTGTGCACCTGCAAAACCTTCCTCACTCCGTCTATTACGTTAAACATGCGGTAGTGCTTTGAGGTTAACAAGAGGAAATTTGTAGGGTTCCGAAAAGGTGCTTCAAAGAATTGTCTCTTTCAATAATGCAAATAAGAAGGATACAGTTTCTTCCTGCACACATATATTTAAACTACAGTATAATTGATGGCAGATGTTCTTTGGATGGCTATTTTAAAATACCGCTGAACTAAGCAGTTTCTGTGTCTTATAATTGGAAAATGTGTGTCCGTTAAGAGCCGTGTCAATATTTCCATATGCAACCCTAATTTGTTGAAGGACGTTATAATTTTACTGCAGCCCAAGTCTTGGCTAGAGGCAGTGAATGTATATGAGCCAGGGTGCAGAGGGATCTGCAGCTGTCATCTTGGGAAGCCATTTCCAGGCCTGTGGCAAGAGGCTTCTGGGTGACCTAAATATTGCCATCACTTCTTTCCCTAAGCTGGGAGCAGCACAGTAATGGGGAGGCGTGACACTCTCCAGCTCTGGAGCTGTACTTGTTCTGTAGGCAACAGGAGATGTCCCTGACCACGTCACATGCATTTGTGTGTAATTTCTTTTTCCTTCAGTGGTCTCTGGGGGTCCCCGACCACGTAGGGACCTGGAGTTTATTTTCCCCACTGAGAAAAGCAGGCACTGTGGACAGCTCTCTCTTTGCAGAGAGCGGCCTCTGGGACTTAGGTATAGTTGTCCTGCTCCTTCATTTTCTATGGTACCTTTCTCATCAGTGAGCCTCCATGTAAACCCTGTTGGACCTCTGTTCTCCAGGTTTTGCATTGTTAAGTGACTTGTGCTTCACCCACCCCCACCGGACCCTGTCTCTTGAACATGGACTCAAAGAAAAACACTGTCAGCTTAGATTAGTTTTACTATAATGCTGCTTAAATTTGTCTTTAAGTGTAAAGCGAGGTCTCATTTCTTTAAACTTTTATCTAACTCCTGTGTTCTTGGCCAACAACGTAAACTACTAAGTGTATACAAAACTAAACACAGTCACATCAGCCCTGTTAATATAATAAAAAGCTGTGTTTAGCTACAACTTCATAGCTGATTTAGAGAGCCGTGGTTAAGGTTCTGCATGTAATCTAGCTTCATATTTTTGACTTGGCCACATGAAATTCCCGTTTGCTTATTGGCCCCGGATCTCTCGCTTTCTGGTTTGCTGGTTCCGGTAATCAAAGCTTAGAGTTAATTCTGCCTGCCAGGGACTCCTAGAGGGCTGGTTTCAACATTCTTTCAAGCTCTCTAATTTGAAGATAGCATTATTTACACCTGCCTAAAAGCCTTATGCCAGCTCATCAGTCTTTTACAATGCCATGAGTGAACAGTGGGAGTAGCAGTAGAAATAGTTTAAGCGTACAGAATACCAGACTCAGCACCGTGTGCTGGAATCAGACGCTAAATTCTTCACTATGTACCGACTGCTCAGCAGGCTGGTAATGGCGGCACTGACAGTGGGATGTGTTTCTCACGGCCATGGCACTGACCTGTCGGGGTCGGCACAGGGCTTTCCCAACTCATCTCCCATCAGGATATAGCCAGGCCCACATTGGCACAGTGGGCAAAGATGCATTTGCTATCTCTGCTGACCAAGCTGGGCTTCGGCACCACAGTGTCCCTTCAGTGTGACAAGTTTGCTCAGTGATGGTGTGATTGACAGTGCAGAGAGGTGCAGCCCGTGTAGTACACCAAGAGTACAGGGGGTGGACCCTAACTGCCTACACCTGAAGCCAGCTCACCTACTTGTTAGCTGTGTATCCTTTGGTGAGTTATTTGACCCTAGTGTGCGTCAGTTTGCTTATCTACAAAACAGAGCCAAGGCCTCCTGTACTATTATGAATTGGATTTGTATATTTAGCATGTACAGAATTCTTCCCGGCTTAGTCACTGTTAGCTATGCAGTGATGCAATGTGCACTTGGCATCGGGAGCTCTGGTTAGATAGGTCCCTAGCATGATTGGAATGTGGGGCAGAAATGGGTAAGAGTCGTGCACGAGATCACTGGTGTTAGAGTAACAGCAACCAAGTTTTCAAGAGGGGCGGGGGGACGATTCTCTGGCAGGGGGACCTGGTGCCAAGTTACTAAGTGGCTTTTATTCCTGAACTGGCAATGTTCCAGAAGGTTCGTAGAGGCCCCCTTGTTCCCGGAAGGATGTGTTTATCCCTGGTGACTTCCGGCGCCTCTGGGAATCAGGGGTGCCACTGCTTACATGAGTGAGTCTTGCATCTCTTTTAGCTGGAGGTGAGGCAGATGAAAAGTAAGTATCGTTTTAGGTGAAACCCTTGTATGTAGGACTAAATTAAAACGCGATTTGCGGACGTGAACACATCCTCCACTGTTGTTGGACCACATGACGTCATTGAACGTTCTTATCCTGCTTGTTCAGGGGCTAAGTCCCGGCTGCTACGACACCTACGCTGCAGACATTGACTGCCAGTGGATCGATATCACAGACGTCCAGCCCGGCAACTACATTCTGAAGGTAGGACCTTTACCAACAGGCTGCAGGTTTCCATGGCAAACCGACAGACGCAGCTTCGCGTGTTAAATATCACAGACTTGGAAGTATTTATGCCTCCCCTAGAACTATTTGCAAACACTCCAGAATTGTGAGAAACATTTCCTGTTTCCCAGAACTTCAAGGGAGAACCTACAGAAGTCTCCTTCTGTCTTCTGTGTTAAACTCCTTCTCCCGAGTTTAACCTCACACTCACACTCCCCTCCCTGTTGGATTCAGTGGGGTCGCTTGTTAATAATTCCCCCATGATAGCCCTGTGGGAATAGACGGAGACTGGCAGGTCTTTAATGCCACTGCTGCTTCTGTTGTGCAGGTTAGCGTCAACCCCAGCTACCTGGTGCCCGAGTCGGACTACACCAACAACGTCGTGCGCTGCGACATCCGCTACACGGGCCACCACGCGTATGCCTCGGGCTGCACAATTTCACCGTAAGTCTTGTTTGCTCGGCATGGACATTTTAGCATGAAGATGCTTTAATGAAAGCCATGAAACCTAGACAGGTTCCCCAGCTTGCCCCTCTGTCCCACCCCGTCTCCTGGTGCTCCGTGGTTCCTGCCCGAGTTACACCTTCCCAGTAGGGAGAATGGATAGAGTGAGACAGACAACTCCACAGCTCTGCTTGGACACTGAGAGGCACCAGTGCCCCTGGCTCAGCAGGACGGAGGGGCAGAGCTAGCCTCAGCACGCACAGTCACCAAAGATTTCTCTTTCATCCCAAACCCCCGACAGTGATTTGCCGCACATGAACCTGCAGTGTGTGGACTTTGCCAGGTGCGCCTGAACTGCCTCGTGCAGGGTTTGCTCTCCAGCTGGGCACTACACCAGCCCGTGCCCTGGGGCCCAGGGTCCCATGCTCTCAGAGGGGCACCTTTCCTAACCCAACCAAAGTGCAGAGCCTGGGCTTCCCAAGTGTGACCGCAGCACTGCCCATGGGGAAGCCTCTGCCAGCCCGGGGCTGGTCCCGAGAAAATGCAGTGAGATGTGCTCTGTGGAAATGCACATGGCACAGAATGCCTGGCTTCTTTATGGACCACGTTATGTGGAGCTGGCCATGGCACACTAGCAATCCCCAGCACATCGGTGCAGTTTTAGGTAAGATAAATGGATTTGTTGTTTCTGGGTAATTCTCACAGTTCCTTCATGGACTCACTCAGTCTCCATCTGTCTGCTCACTCCTGCTCTCAGGAGTCCTGCTCTCTTTGAGTTTTTTTTTTAAAGATTTTATTTATTTGAGAGCTAGAGCTACAGAGGAGCGGGGGAGAGGCAGAGGGAAAGTTTTTCCATCCTCGGGTTCACTTCCCAAATGGCCGCAAGGGTTGGAGCTGGGTCGATCCGAAGCCAGGAGCCAGGAACTTCTTCTGGGTCTCCCACCTGGTGCAGGGGCCCACGCACTTGGGCCATCTTCCACTGCTTTCCCAGGCCATAAGCAGAGAGCTGGATCGGAAGAGGAACAGCCAGAACAGTAACCTGTGTCCATATGGGATGCCGGTGCCACAGGTGGAGGTGTAACCTACAATGCCACAGCACCGGCCTCTTCAGTATTAGAACTACTGAGAGTGATGCAGAGATAACTGTGACTCCTGTGCTGCTGGCTCGGAGCCTCACTACAGTAATTCCAGTACCTCTCACATCTCCTTTGTGTCATGTTGGTTTCCTGCTCCACTCCCTGAGGGCTGAGACCTGGCCAGGTACCAGTGTGGCTCCTTGGAGAGCTCACTCTGCACTTAGTTATTAGGGAAGCTACCCTCTGTCTCCAGCAGTTTGGAATGTAAAAGATACACACACACACGCGTGCGCACACACACTCACAAGTATAACACACTAAAGTACAATGAGACCAGATGCACCTCTGCTGTACTGGGCTAAGTGACTTCCAGCTGTGATGCCAACCTCCCACAGGGAACAGGTCCAGAGAGGTGACTGTATGTCATTCTGCCTTTCAAATGAATAAATCATTTTTAAAAAGATTTTATTTATTTACTTGAGAGGCAGAGTTACAGAGGGAGAGACAGAGAGAAAGGTCTTCCATCCTCTGGTTCACTCCCCAAACGGTTACAAGGGCCAGAGTTGGGCCAGTTCAAAGCCAGGAGCCAGGATCTTCTTCTAGGTTTCCCACATGGGAGCATGGGCCCACGCACTTGGGCCATCTTCTGCTGCTCTCCCAGGTACATTAGCAGGGAGCTGGATCAGAAGTGGAGCAGCTGGGACTTGAACTGGAGCCCATATGGGATGCTGGCACAGCAGGTGGAGACTTGGCCTACTGCCCCAGTCCCCACAGTGCCTTCTTGTCATCAGTAGAATCCAGTGAATTGGATATTGCCAGTACTTTGAAAAAATAAGTTATGTTGTTATCCAGCATTATGATGATTCTACAAGGGGGATTCCTTCTATGACCACACACACGGAGTTGATATTTTCAACCGCACTTAAGCTGCAAGAGTGGTTGAGGCAGAGTGTTAACAAGAACATTAATTATATGAAAACAGGAGGAAGTGACATCACCCACACTTAGATTCACAAGATAATAAAATCAGGCTTCTGGGAATGCAAAGTCAAAGGAATCGCACAGAACCCTTGACGACAGAGGGAGACACCAACACTTGTCTCTTATTTTGACTTCCCTGGGGGCCTTCCTCACTGGGGATAGAGCTCAGGTGGAGGAGAGGTTTCTCCAGGCTGAGATTCAGGAGTGACTTAAGGATGGAGTCTGAACTGGGCCTTGAAGGCCGAGGACTGCGCTGGGGGTGGGTGGGGGGTGGGGGAGGATAAAGCAAGGCATGCCGGGAGGGGCAGGCTCCCAGCAGCAGGAGCTGGCAGCCGGGTGTTTGGAGAAGTTCAGTTCAGCCTAAGTTTTGTAGAGTTGGGCAAAACACAATGAAGAAATAAGCTGGGACCGAATCAGAGAGGGCCAACAGGTGTGAACTCTGTCCTGGAGGCAGCGAGTGATGGTGTGACCTGAGGCCATGCTGTCCACCTGACCACGCACAGGCCAGTGCGAGCTCCGCCTGCATCAGCCAGTGTGGAGGCAGCGACATGTCTGATCCCGGCACTAATAATACTCATTTTCGCAACTGTCACTCTCAGTTCACTGGTTGTTTTCCGTGCTGGTCAGGTATCTGATGGCTTTCTGTGGGTGTGGTTAAAACCACACAGGCAGTAGGTGTATTCCTGTACCGTTTCTCCTTGTTTCCCCAGGCCAGCTAGTCCCCATGTAGACTAGGAGAACAGAGATGCCTTCCGGTTCTCAGATGCTACGATGAGATTCGCTCCCCTCCCAGAATTTACTGTTGGGGAGGAGATGGTTTATGCTGTGGACTTAAGTGCATTCTCCCATCTGTAGTCGGGCCACAGTTTAAATCCAACAGCATTTGACAGACTGGCTCAGCTCCAGGTTCTGCCTACTCGGGCATCATTGTTCACCCAAAGCCATGCTGAACAAGGACCGCTGCAAAGCAGCGCGGGCAGCTTGGCTGGGCGCCCTGGGACATGGCACCCTTGCTCCAGGAAATGAGCTCAGCAGGTCCGGGCTGCTGGTCCCAGAAGCCCTGCTTTCCTCTCGATTGTTTCAGAGGTCGTTTCTGTGAAAACATCAAGAGCGTGGGCATCAGAGTTGTGTTCTGCTAACATAGCGACTTTCTTCAAATCATTATAAAAATCATGCATCCGCAGATGATCTCACCAGGTGACCGTTCTTAGGGGGAGGCAGATGGCCAGGTGAAGTTGTAAGAGGGGTGACTTTAAGTGTGGCTAGGGTACACATTGGTCATATCCAGTTAACCATCTGTCTAATTTCGTTTCCCTAATCCAGGTACTAGAAAGCCAGCCCCAACTCCCAACGGATAAATCAGTGCCTGGTGTTCTGAAGTGGGGAAAACGTAGATAAGCTTCAGTAGGATGATGTATTTTGAAAAAGGACGGAGATCAACAAGGGAATTTTTGTTGGGACCGCTTGACAACAAAGCACATAACTGGATTTTGAACATTTACATCAACATTATTTGGGAAGCTTCTAATATTATTCACAGTACGTCATGAAATAACACAACGTTTCAATTCTGTAGTTGCATACTTGGCTTTCTGAAAGAACCCCAAATTTCTTACGCTTCTTTTGTAATTATAAATAGTCACGGATGAGCCAAAATTACTTTGAACTGAAAAATGTTCTAAAGTGCTGGGACTTCAGTGGATCAGCCTGTTGACCGGCTGATGTATGTCCTAGCCTAGGTTAATTGAGAAATGATGCTCCTACCGCGTACGTCGACGCATTTGGTGCTGAGGAAGGAAGGAACACATTCCCATCGGTGTCAAGAAATGTTCTATATAGCAGAGAAATGGCAATATATGTATTCAGATAGTTATAGCCCTCTATCAAAGTTACGTTTACATTTTAAAATCCGTAGATAGTGTTCTTTCTGTCGAGTGCACGACCTCATCCTGACGGGGAGTGAACCGAGTAACGGGCCACCTGGCTCCCGTCAGGCGTTAAGTGATGCTGCCCTCACTGTTTCCCATGGGCAGAGGTCCTTGGGGTGGCATCCTTACAGTCACCCTCCTGGGGCCGATGGCACACGGAGAGCTGTGTAACTGGGAAGTCATTGTGATGACAGATGTGATGAATCGAGAGATACAGTGCCTCTCAGCATATCAAAGTCTTCACCGAACGAATCTCCTTGCTCACAGAAAAACCATACAGACGAGCCCCCCACACCACAGCTGTCTCTCAAATGCTTAAAAAATAATAATAATGGAAAACATCTGGGGATTTTCAAGTTTTTTTTTTAATGTTCAGCTTTTAAAAAGAGAACTGCTAAAAATTATTAAATTATTCAGACTCAATGACAGTGTGTGTGCTGTGCTCTTAAGACGTCAAACCATGTTGTCCAGGAACCAGTCACACCTGTTTGTGTGTGTCTGGAAGATAGTCTGAATTAACAAAGCACGTGGCATTACCTACTAGGGATGATCAGCAAGGGGGAAAAATACTTTCTGTAACACCAAGGACTGTGCTGCATAATGAGACAGTTGTGATTTTGTTTTAAACTGTGAAGCCACGACAGAATCTGGAGATTTTTCTCTTTTGCCTAAATTCAAAAGATGTGTAAAGAATTCTAATCAGACTTTTAAGTGAATGGTGCTGAAGCAAACGTTTTTCCTACGTTAACAGGTCTTAAAGTCTCAAGGTATTTCCAGTGCCAGAACAGGGTAGGCAGAATTCTCAGAGAGACTTGGTATCCCGTCTTATTTGTCGCAAGAGTGGTCGAGTCGACACCAGTGATGAGCAGTGATGTACCCTCACTGGGTGCGTCCGTGGTGAGAACAGCCAGAGATGGACGGTCATGGGGGCAGTCAGCGGGACACCTGGTCCTCCTGGCCGGGGCACGTGCTTCCAGCAGAGAATACAGACAGCTAGTCTCTGAGCTGTGGGATGGCTTCTTTGATGGACCTCTTCGGCTTACATTGCTTCTTAGTTTTAAGATTGTAGAGTGCTCCTTTCAAATGATAATCTTTTCTAATAGAGGTATTTTATGTTATTTGCTTAAAAAAAAAAAAAGCAACCAAAAACTACTGTCAGTATTAATACTGAGCCAGACTGGTGTCTGCAGATATCACATCCATCTTTTCATTAAGATTCTTACCCTGTATTGAAATCTAGCCAACATCACAGCCTTTGGATCCATAGCAGAAGACACATTTATCACCATTCTTTGTACCTCTTATCTGTCCATCCATCATCATTTGAGGGTCTAATATATGCCAGACACACACATGCTAGGCATTGAGACGTAGAAAAGACGTGCTAACTTCTGTCAGTTTTCTTTAAATGTCATTATTACCCATAAAATTCATAGGAGTTTTACAAAAGCACATGTCTTTAACATTTTAGTTATTTTTCATAACCATTCTTCATTTAAAAATAAACATTGATCATCATATGCATCTATGTATTTGTAATAATTAAAAATGTGTTCGAAGGTCCCAAAGTATCTGCCCTTTAAATACAATGTGTACTGTTTCGTTGATCTTGAAAAAGGAGTTTTTCCAATTAGGAAATTAAAGTTTCTTGCGAATAAGCAAGAATAACCTAAGTGAACATTCCTCCTCCTGCCATTAGCCCAAATGTTCCCAGATAATTGGACATGCCGACTTCACATGTAACATTTTGGGGCCTCAAGGAGTCTTCCCTCCGAATAACTGCCAAATGCGGATAACACACAATGGGGCTGATTAATACAGAGCCCACTTCAGCCTAAACAAATTCTAAATAAAACTGCTGAACACAAAAAGTAAAACTGATATATGAAATCCTAAAAGTGAGAAGAGACTGGCTTTTGTACTCAAAGACTGTGGAGACACAGACAAATAGGAAAACAAGTCTGAGTCTCCCATATAGCTTGTTACCCAAACCTAACGAGATCTTGACCTCCGAAGGCTAGGATTCAGCCTCCCAACAATATGGTGACATAGTGAATACACAACTTGCCTATTTCCAGAAAAATCTTTATATTTTTATATAATAATTTTATTTACAATCTCTTCAGTAGGCATTATTTGTAATAACAAAGCTTTTTTTTTTTTTGCTCTTAGAAATCTTATAGGATAATTACACTTAGAAACATTCCCAAATTTCAGAGTCTAGAAGAAATGCAGTTTGTTAAAATTTCCCTATTACTCAGCGCTAATCTTTGGCAGATTACACTAAAATATCAAATTTCTGATCTGGTTGGGAGATACTATGTTTTACAAATAATTTGTTTTCATATTGATAGTATAACTGGTAACTAAAGGATACCCCTTTTCTATTTCATGACTTGAACTCATATTCACAATCAGTATATTCAATCAGATTTAAGTTTCATACCAGCTATTCCATGTCCTGGGCCACTTTTGTACACAAAGTATTTCATTTATCCTTCAATCTAAAATGGTGCTGAATTATTTCAACTTGAATGTAAAATGCATTAAGTCTTAGCTCATGGGAATATAAACATTTAATTAATATATAATTGCTTGCTTAATTGACATGTCATTTGTTATTATAATGTTTTTAATGAAAGTTTTTGTTTCTCCCAAATTTTTCAGGAATCCTATTTGTAGAACATTTGTAACTTTGAAGAGCTTTTATTTTAAATGCCCAGACACTGGCTTTATATTCATCCTTGCATTCTCATATTCTTTTATTATATGCCTATATTATGATTGCAAGACTATATAAAAATGCCTTGAATAAATGATTTCAAGTATCTATCATGGTCCTTTGTTCTTACATACAAATAAATTATCTGATTTCATTTTAGGTTACTATATTCAAGCCATGTAGATGGTTGGTGGTTTTGCTTAATTGCCATTTGTATTAACAAAATGTGTGATAGGATCACATGACAGATACAGTGAAGTAGATGCTGTCATACATGAAATTTTTTTTATTATTTAACAGGTAGAGTTATAGACAGTGAGAGAGACAGACAGAGAGAAAGGTCTTCCTTCCATTGGTTCACTCCCCAAATGGCTGCAACGGCTGGCACTGCACCGATCTGAAGCCAGGAGCCAGGTGCTTCTTCCTGGTCTCCGATGCGGGTGCAGGGCCCAAGCACATCCCCTACTGCAGAGAGCTGGACTGGAAGAGGAGCAACCGGGACTAGAACCAGCGCCCATATGGGATGCCGGAGCTGCAGGCGGATTAACCAAGTGAGCCATGGCACCGGCCCCGTCATGCATGAATTTATCCTCACTTTGGTCACTATCTGCAGCTACTTCCAAGGACACAGAGCAGGTGCTACAAGGTCACACTGCTTTGGTTAGGGTTTCCAAGGAGTCTATAGTGAAAACACTTTGATTTAGGGGACACAGTCAACCCTAGGTACAAATTATTTACATAAGAGAAAATGTTATCATTGTAATTCTCATTGAAATATGCAACAGATTAGCCTGGAAGTTAGCCAAACAGGCTTCCCACTGTGGCCAAGTGGTTTAGGGAGAAGCTTTGAAAAAATTAACTCACAAAAATAATTCACCCTTAAGGGGTGCTTGCAGTTAAAGCTGATGTAGACTTGAAACTGACAAGTTGCAGATTTGTGTCCTGTGACATCAGCGGTACTCAAAACCACTAATTTCTTGTTTTCACTCAACTGCTTAAGGCAAAACATCTGAATATACTTTTATCCCTTTTTAGCTTAAATGAGTACAATATAGTTTATGTACAATTAGGAGAATACTGATTTCCTAAAGCCAGGACAGTTATCTCTTGGTATTCCTGGGGTATTGGCTTCAGGATGCTCCATAAATGTTTAAACCCCTTCCAGGAATTTGTATTTGCCTATAACCTGTGCACATCTTCCTGTATACTTTAACTGTCTCTGCATGACTCATAGCACCTGATAGGATGTACACGATATGGAAACGTGCTACACGGTGTTGTTTAGGGCATGGTGACAGGGACAAAGTGCTACACATGCTCAGTACAGACAACAGTTTTCCATCTGCAGTGGGTTGAATCCTGGAATGCAGAAACATAGGATTCAGAGGGCCAAGGAATTCTAGTTTCACAAGAAACTTGACTCAAACCATGTTCTATTTCAGAAGGAAATACAGGCCCTTCCCATTTGTCCGACAGCTGGAAAGCTTGTAGGTGTCCCTTGTTAAACTCTTTTCTTTCCCGAAAAAGAAGAAGACACAAAAAAATGGAAAAATCTGCCATGTTCATGGATTGGAAGAATCAATATTATCAAAATGTCCATTCTCCTGAAAGCAATTTACAGGTTCAATGTGATACCGCTCAAAATGCCAAAGACATTCTTCACAGACCTAGAAAAAATGATGCTGAAATTCATATGGAGAAACAGGAGACTGCGAATAGCTAAAGCAATCCTTTACAATAAAAACAAAGCTGAAGGCATCACAATTCCAGACTTCAAGACATACTACAGGGCAGTTATAATCAAAACAGCCAGGTACTGATACAAAAACAGATGGGTAGACCAATGGAACAGAACAGAAACAACGGAAATCAAAAATCTATAACCAACTCATATTCAACAAAGGAGCTAAAACTAACCCCTGGAACAGGGACAGCCTCTTCAACAAATGGTGCTGGGAAAACTGGATGTCCACATGTTGGAGTATGAAATAAGACCCCTATCTTACACCTTATACAAAAATCCACTCAACATGGATTAAAGATCTAAATCTATGCCACGACACCATCAAATTAATTGAGAGCATAAGGGAACCCTTCAAGACTGTGGAACAGGCAAAGAATTCCTGGAGAAGACCCCAGGTAGTCAAAGCTAAAATGAACAATTGAGATTACCTCAAATTGACAAGTTTCTTTACAGCAAAAGACAGGAAAGTGAAGAGGCAACCAACATAATGGGAGAAATTATTTGCAAACTATACAACTGATAAAGGATTAACAACTAGAATCTATAAAATGATCAAGAAATTCCACAGCAACAAAACAACCCAATAAAAAGATGGGCCAAGGACCTTAACAGACATTTTTCAAAAGAGAAAATCCAAATGGCCGATAGACACATGACAAAATGCTCAGGATCTCTAGCCATCAGGGAAATGCAAATCAAAACTATAATGAGGTTTCACCTTACCCCAGTTAGAATGGCTCACATATAGAAATCAACTAAGAAGAGATGCTGGTGAGGATGTGGTGAAAAAGGGACACTAATCCACTGTTGGTAGGAATGAAAACTAGTAAAGCCACTATGGAAGACAGTTTGGAGATTCCTCAGAAACCTGAATATAGCCCTACCACATGACCCAGCCATCCCACTCCTTGGAATTTACCCAAAGGGAATTAAACTGCAAAAAAAGAGCTGTCTGCACCTCATTGTTTATTGCAGCTCAATTCACAATAGCTAAGACATGGAATCAACCTAAATGCCCATCAAGAGATGACTAGATAAAGCAATTATGGGATATGTACTCTATAGAATACTATATAGCAATAAAAAAAATGAAATCTGGTCACTTGCAACAAAATGGAGGAATTTGGAAAATATCATGCTGAGTGAAATAAGCCAGTCCCAGAGGGACAAATATCATATGTTCTCCCTGATCGGTGACAATGTAACTAAGCACCTAAAAGGAAACCTGTTGAAGTGAAATGGACACCATGAGAAACAGTGACTTGGTTAGCCCTTGTCTTGGCTGTTGAGGAACAACTTACTATTTTATTCCTTTTAATATTTTTTTGTTCCACTTAATACCACTGGTTGAACTCTTTTTTTTTTTTTTTTTTTTGGACAGGCGGAGTTAGTGAGAGAGAGAGACATAGAGAAAGGTCTTCCTCCTGTTGGTTCGCCCCCCAAATGGCCACTACAGCTGGTGCACTGTGCCGATCCGAAGCCAGGAGCCAGGTGCCTCCTCCTGGTCTCGCATGCAGGTGCAGGACCCAAGCACTTGGGCCATCCTCCACTGCCTTCCCGGGCCACAGCAGAGAGCTGGACTGGAAGAGGAGCAACCGGGAAAAACCCTGTGTGCTGGCAAGGCAGGCAGAGGATTAGCCTAGTGAGCCGCGGCACCTGCCAGTTGAACTCTTTAATTAACACACAATTATTCTTAGGCATTTAAAACTAACTAAAAAGTGATCTCTGTTAAATATAAGAGTGGGAATAAGAGAGGGAGGAGATATACAGTTTGGCACATGCTCACTCGGACTTACCCTAATGGTAGAGCTAGAAATGTGCCAAGGGATTCCAATTCAATCCCATCAAGGTGGCATGTACCAATGCCATCTTACTTGTTAAAGTGATCAGTTTAAGCACATAATTGATAAAAATAAAAAAAGATAGGTTAAGTGTCAAAGATATTACATAAATAAGACCAGTGTCTGCAAATATTGAAGGATAGAATTAAAAGGGATAGAATGATCCTATGGGGGAAGCAGGATACACAACAGACTCATAGAATGGCAAATGCCCTAAACAGCACTCCGGCCTCAGAATCAGCCCTTAAGACATTCAGATCTGGCTAAAAGGCCCATGAGAGTTTTGCAGGCATGGAAAGCCAAGACACTGTGGGGAAAAAAAAAGAGAGAGAGAGAAAGGGAAAGAAAAAGAAAAAAATGACCTAAATGAAAGATCTCTGTGAGTGAGATCCCAGCAGAAAGAATGGGCCATCAAAGAAAGAGGTACCTTTGTCTGAAGGGAGAAAGGAACTTCCACTTTGATATGGCCTTGTCTAAATAAGATCAGGATTGGTGAACTCAAGAGGCTTCTATAGCCTCAGCAGCTCATGACAAGAGCCTTGGGTGATTACTGACGTCATAAATAAGAGTGTCAATTCTTGGCCGGCGCCGTGGCTCACTAGGCTAATCCTCCACCTAGCGGCGCCGGCACACCGGGTTCTAGTCCCGGTCGGGGCGCCGGATTCTGTCCCGGTTGCCCCTCTTCCAGGCCAGCCCTCTGCTGTGGCCAGGGAATGCAGTGGAGGATGGCCCAGGTGCTTGGGCCCTGCACCCCATGGGAGACCAGGAAAAGCACCTGGCTCCTGGCTCCTGCCATTGGATCAGCGCGGTGCGCCGGCCGCAGCGCGCCAGCCGCAGCGGCCATTGGAGGGTGAAGCAACGGCAAAAGGAAGACCTTTCTCTCTGTCTCTCTCTCTCACTGTCCACTCTGCCTGTAAAAAAAAAAAAAAAAAAAAAAGAGTGTCAATTCTTAAATCAACAATGGGAGTCACTGTGAACCTGCTCCCCATGTAGGATCTCTGTCCTGAATGTGTTATGAGAATTAACAGCAAAACTACTACTCAAACAGTACTCTATATTCTTGTGTGTCTGTGTTGGTGCAGTCTGTTGAAATCTTTACTTAGTATATACTAAGTTGATCTTCTGCATATAAAGATAATTGAAAATGAATCTTGATGAAGAATGGGATGGGAGAGGGAGTGGAAGATGGGATAGTTGCGGGTGGGAGGGAGGTTATGGGGGGAAAAGCCACTATAATTCAAAAATTGTACTTTGTAAATTTATATTTATTAAATAAAAAATTTTTTGAAAATCTTTTCTTTCCCACACTCAATTATTCATAACAGAATGAACCAAAAATGTATTTTATGGTTTCTTCATTTTCTACAAAAAGTTGATGGAAAACGCACCTTTTAATTTCTTTTTTTTTTTTTAACTTTTATTTAATGAATATAAATTTCCAAAGTACGACTTATGGATTACAATGGCTTCCCCCCCATACCGTCCCTCCCACCCACAACCCTCCCCTTTCCCACTCCCTGTCC